AACACCGTTGAAAGCAAGTTCATATCTATTTCCAATTTTAAATAATAAGCCAATAATAAGCCACTTCCAGTTTCGACCGGAAGCAAGGGTCATGTGATTTTACGTACACGTTAAAAAATAAAGACCTTAATTTACTCTATCACTTGCCGCAAACAGCAAGATGTCGTCTACAGCAAGACGACAGATCTCATTATTGATTTTCTATAGATTTTAAAGATAAAAAATATCAAAGTTTAATTGCTCGTCACGTGACACCTGATGACGTCATCGTGCCATCATTGTTCTGGCACAATCTTAGCATTAAGGTCTTTGCTTGGTGTTACTTTGATGAAGATGCCCCATTGAAAAGTGGCCAAAAAGGTCCCTTGAAAAAAAAGGGCACAAAGTGGAAAAACTGTGTAAAAAAGTCAATGGGCTTAAATAAATATTCAAAATTTCATAATAAATCACATGATGACGTCATCATTGCGTCCATCTTCGCCAACGACCTTTGCTATATGTTCTTTGACTATGTTAAGTTTCAATGTCATAATGAGTGTGCTTTATGACTAAAATGCTGACGAGAAAAATTGTGCACAAAGTCTATGGGATTTGTTATAGAAGACCAAGCGTCTCGAGCACAAGACTACGCGCCACGTGTTTGGCCCCATTCCAACAAGCATGACGATGAAGAAATAATGGATCTGCACTGAATGCATGTACAAGTACAATGTCCTGTACATGCAGTGTATTCACGCACACCCAGCTCTACGCTTTCATTGAATTTTTGAGCGACGGACTACCGTTAGGGTATTTTTGTCGGCGGCGGGTCACGTGTGTGAACAATTTGACAAGCCACGCGCCTGGCACAATTGACGCCAATGTTTAATCTATCATTTAATGGACAATTTAAGATTATATCTCTCACGTTTGATTTTTTAGCGATTTTTGAAGAATAAAAAGTCTTTTCGTTGTAAGGCCAAAAAGAAAAATAAGTCGGTCTCTGGTCAGCGCGCGCGTCGATTTTAATCATGCGCGTCAATCTTCTTTTTTCTAAAATGTTCCGCGGTAGCTCCAACAGCGCCCTCTATTGCCGCACCTCCTCAATTTTTTTTACCAAAGAGCACCAAAGGAATGGGAAATTGCACCAAGGCAAATGATCGAGAGCACCAAGGCAAATTATGGCGGACACCAATGTACATGAGGACACCAAAAAAGCAAAATAGTACCCCACCTTGTCTGTACAATCCAAGCTTGAAGAAGAAAAAAAAAGGCAAAAAAAAAAAAAATGCCGCGTCGCCGCGTCAATTCCGGAACTTTGGTCTGACCAGAGACCGAATATTTATTTTTTTTTGCCTAACTTCCGGTCTGATGACGTCATCGGCTTCAAACTTCACACGTGTTGTTTGCATGAAGGTCATCATATATACCAATTTTCAAAAGATTACAGCAAACTTCACCACAGACATCTATTCAAAATGCATTTTGGACATTTTTCAACCTGCCGCTAGAGGGCGCTCTAATATTTCATGACGTCATTGGTTACAGTTTTGAAAAGTCGTTGAAAGCACGTTCATATCTTTTACCATTTTTAAATTATAGGGCACTTCCGGGTTCGACTGGTTTCGACCAGAAGTAAGGGTCGTATGATTTGACACCAACGAAGTAAATTGAAGACCCAGTATTATTCTATTGACTGCCGTTAAAAACAAGTTCCGGTCTCTCACGGTTGATTTTATATCGATTTGTAATGATTAATAAATAGAAACACTAAATTGCTTGTAATTTGATACCTGATGACGTCATCATGACGTCAGGACAATATGCACTACTCGGGATCAGGGTCGATATGTGTTCGAAGTTACAAGTTTATATCTTCAACGGTTTAGGAGTAAACCCGCGGAGAAGTATTGTCCGGAAAAAAAAAAGAAAGAAAGAAAGAAAGAAAGATTAATCGGAACAATTCTAGACAGTGGTCAGATTGTGCCCGACCACTCAATCAGACTAGAAGTTCGCGTTTGTTGAGTTACAACGCAGAGTGGTCGGGCAGGCAATTTTTTATTAAACACTGCCAAGATAAGTAATGAATATGTTTATGTAAGAACAAAGGATCACGAAATTAAATCCTTTCCAGTACAATCAATTATTTTGTTTAAAAAATGCATCTTTAACAGTATGATAAATTTCAGTAAACATTTTATGTACACATACAAGTTATTTCTGGCTTGATAACGTCATTAGTCAAAAACGGGAAGTGAATACTGATTTAGTTCGGAGTGGATAAATGTTCATTGTGAAGTTAAATAACGTCACAGTATTTGGAAGCCAATGGTGAACATTATAATGGTATCGTTATTTGGGCTACAAAGATATAAATGACATGGAACAAATGAAAGAATTAAATTTAAAATATGATCTTTTTCAAATTCTCATAGAATAACTTCCGGTCTGATGTCGTCATGAATTTGAAACCTTGCCAAGTTATCTGTGGTTAATCAAAGAATATCAAGGGGCGATTTGATAAAATTTGAACAGATGGTTTTCAAAATAAAGAAAACAAACACTACTTTATGTGCCGCTAGGGGGCGCCCTTTCTGATGATGACGTCATCACACTGTTTTTTGTGTCTACCATTCCTCACTTAACACTTTCATAATATATGTCTGTAGTAAAATGCTTCCGCTTTTGAGTTATATTCGGTTTTTAATGTACTTCCGGTAACACCGGAAGTAAAGGTCAAGCCGTTTTGTGTCCGGGAACACAAACTGTTTCTTACGGCATAGTCTACAACCTCACAAAAAAACGAACACGATTTTGAAAATCACCAATATCGGTTAAAGACGAATTGACAGGATCAGTAGCTTTCCATCTGCAAGATCTATAAAAATGTCGAAGTCGGCTGTTGTAGATGGTCTCCGACTCTGTGCCGCAAATGTGGCAGCTTCTGCCGAAAGGCTCGCTGATTGGAACAATCGTTGGACATGTTCAGCACGTCAGGTGAAGATCCTGTGGTGCTGGGTGAATCATGTTCGAATTGGGTTGGACCAGGATGTCTGGACGCTGTGGTAGGATTAGTGAGCTGTGAACCAACAGCTTGATCAATCTGAGGAACCATGGCTGCCAGGGCCAGAATGGGGCCACAAGGAGGATTCTGCAGTGTTCCCGTTCTATCTTTGTGAGTACCCGTGCAATCAGGGATATTGGAGGAAAGGCGTATTGGGGGAAAGGCATTTTCATCGTAAACATTCCCGTCCATGGAATCAACAGAGCATCGGTGTGCCATGCTTGTGGATCGGGGTATCTTGAGCAAAAAAAAAGTCGCTGGTCGTTTGCTCTTGTTGCAAACAGATCTATGTGTAGGCGATCGATATTCAAGAAGATCTGATCGACGACTTGAGGCTGTAGCGTCCATTCCGTTGGCCGAATCCTTCCTCTGGAGAGGGCGTCGGCTACAGTGTTGTCCGTGCCTGGACGAAAATACGTACTTACGGAGATCGAAAATCAGACAAATGAAGATACACAAATTGAAGACAAACTCCACTTTATTAAATTCAAAGAAATAAACTCAAGCGGACGTAGGATGGTGAAGAAAACCACCAATATGATGGGTTTTGGACCAATAGCTAGTTGTAGTGGAGTACCGGTACTTTTTTTCCCGAGTACCGAGTACTTAGGTTGCCGAGTACAAACTGGTACGAGTACTTGTACTTTTGAGTATGAGTACGAGTACCCGGTACTTGTATACAGACATCATATTTCGTGATTTTCGTCACGAACAAGTTACAACTTGGGCACAAAAGTGCCACAAATTCTTCACAGACCGACAATTTTTGACAAGTGAATGTGGAACGTACAACGTGGCAGATTCGTGGTAACGTATGTGTACTACGCATACAGGCCTGTGTTTATGTCGGTTTAGGCCCAGTCAGACCGACATACAGACCCACTCATGGCTAGCTGTTAATTGTGTTTGTCCAGACGTGGGCACAGGAAAGTCAGGAAACTTCGACTTCTCTGCAAGCCAATCAACCATTTCAAACTGAAAGTATTGATAAAATTAACGGCCGTGGTAAGTCAAGCTACCGTATACCATTTTTTTTTTTCGAGTACTGCTATTCGAGTGCAAGTACTTTGATGATTGAGTACAATTTCGACATGTCGAGTACGAGAACTTGCTGCCCGAGTACGAGTACCGTCATTACGAGTACGAGTACTTTGACATTCGAGTACGAGTACTCTAAACAAAAAGTACTAGAGTACTAGAACACTGCCAATAGCTTATTATGAATTAAATGAGCTTTCTTCAAACATGTAGAAACAGATTTTTAAAAAGCTTATTTATGAATTAAATGAGCTTTCTTCAAACATGTAGAAACAGATTTTAGGCTGACACAGATATTAATGAAATTGATGAATTTGGGGGGGGGGGGGTAGGATTTTATGGCAAATATTGTTACACTGACTTGTTTGAAGTTTTGTGTTCATTGATACTGGAAAAACCAAGAAAAACAATCAGGTGTTAGTAGTCTGGTTCCTTGACCCTACTTATAATCAAACAGAGCAATTTATAGATGTCGGAGAATTGTAAGGTCGGGGAACCAGTCTAGCTGGCTGGTACCCATTCATAGGTGTGTAATCAATTGCAAATAAAATGTTGACTGACTAAATATCGTAAATTGGGGGCAGAATTTGAAAAAAAAACCAGTTTTTTCCAATGCTGGTCAGCCGACCTGTGTTGGAAATTGATACAGAAATACCACTTTCGTGAAAATGTCAGCACACCAGACGGTCATTCTTTAATAGTCCAGTAAAGTATTTCATAATAATTTGGTAGTTTTGTATTTTTTGACACAATTTGCAAATTATGTATATTCCTTTTAAGCTTTTGTTCTCAAACAGGTATTAAGCTTTAATTTTTTGTAATGTTTTATTATTATTATTGGAGCCTCATATGGTTTTGAATGTTCAAGTTAACTTGTGAGCTACGCATATTTCTTTATTAAATATCTTCATATACCTACCATGATGGAAAACTTTGCCAGCTGACAAAGTGTAATATCCACTTTCTTTGAAGTGTTGTGGTAATGTGGTGTAATTTCCAGCTGCCTGCCGCCAGTAGCTTGACGTGAAGTCCCACAGTAAGGTAGAATCTGGGCGTCTCCCAGTAAGGAAAGAGATACGGCTTGGAGCACACACAGCTTGCTAAAAGTGGACAGTGATTTAAAACAAAACACAAGAAAAGTAGTGTTAAAAACAAATGCCCCGCAACTGTGACTGTTCCAGTAGTGGGCCAGACTTGGGGGGGCAAGGAAATATTTTTAGGGGCAGTCAAAATAAAGTCTAAAGCCTGTGTATGCAACTTGGAAGTGTAGTCGTTTCTATGAATGAGAAATGTATCAAACTGCAGAATGGTGTATAACAAATGTACAACAAATGTACAAAGATGTTGGCTGCACACTATCTAAAGCTATATAAATGCATGTGTGGCGTGTTTTGTCTACCAAAGTACCAATGTTTATAATGCTTTAACTGGCCCAAAATGTGTCCACATTTTATGAATCTTAACAGCAAAGAAAACAAACATAATTAATCTATTTGTTGGTAAGTGTTGCGAAAAAACTGTTGGGGGAGGGGGAGGTGGGACAGGGAAAAACTTGGAGGGTGGGCAAATTCCCTCCCATGGCCCACCCCATAAGCCGCCACTTGACTGTTCCCATAGCATGACACCACCATTTTAACATCAACTTACATGGGTCACATGGAATGTTCATTTACATCATTATTGTTTTCTTTAGGTTATTTACGAACTGAATTGATGCCTATGATCCCTGAATAAAATTGTCTGTTGCTTTTCTGTTGGGAAGACATTGTATGTGATTTAAATGAGTGAGTGAACATGAATAGATACTGTACAAGAAAAAACATGTAAAAGTAGACATGTGTTTGTGGACAAACTCTGAGCTGTTTCGATTGTTTTAGCAACAACTGCCATGAAGGAGTTTCATCCATGGGTGGCTTGTGCATAAAGCGCTCGCCTCTAACCAAGGTGACCACGGTTCGAATCCTGGCCACGGATCCTGGCCTGGCCGTGGATCACTGGTGAGTAGAGTTGTGCGTTGGTTCTCTCCTGTGCCACGAGGGTTTTTCTCCGGGCCCTCCGGTTTTCCTCCCTCCGGAAAAAATCGAACACTTTCGATCTCAGGCTTTGCTCCGTGGTCATATATGGGTTGATGTGGCTGGCAGCCATAGGCGCCTTTACGTGCCAGCGGCCCGACCACGTTGTAGCCGCGTCCTTCGCAATTCAGCATACCCCCAAATTATTATGTACACTATGTACATGAGTATTCTACAGATGGTGATGTAAGTGTCGATTCGGTGTAAACAAAAAAAACAAAGTGGGGTGTTGTACGAAAACGTGTGTCATCCTATGAAAAGCAGAGTGCACGTAGTGAAATTTTGTGCAACATACATGTAGCCTGGTTAGGAGACTACCAGAATTTACAAAATGTAGGAAATTAATGACGTCATTCATTGAAAATGATGGCTCTTGGTCTGTGCCTACTTTGAAGTCAATCTGACCGTATTTTATGTAATTACAAGAAAATATTAAAATGTTAAATATTAATACAAAAAATCAGTTAATGACATCATCATAGTTATAGTGCACACATTCAAACAACAGAATAAAGGCTTGCTGGTCCCATTTGCACAATGTACATCATTTGAAAACGACCGCGTAACACCAGGGAATTTCCAAAACAGTTTGCACATCGGCAAACTCCAGCACAGCCGTTCGTGTGTGAACACGTCTCTTGATCAGTTTACGTGATATTATAATGTGTTCGTAAACGTAAGCACAAAATGTTTACCGCTGTTTTGTGTCTAGTACAGGACGTAAATAATGAATATTCATGTTGTCCCAGCACATCACGGATCTGGTTGAACTGGCCAAAAAATACTCATTCACAATAAAATTCGGGCTTCGTCTGCAGAATGGCTTAACGTGCATATACACTGGTGGTAGGTGCATGTTGCGTTAGGCCATAAAGAAAAATACTGCAGGTGAGACTTGCGCAATCCCCCTGACATGCTTGCATTTTTTTTTTAAGTCAGTGTCCCTAACCAAAATGGAACATTTCTATTGTTTTAGCAATTTCTATTGTTTTAGCAATTTCTATTGTTTTAGCAATTTCTATTGTTTTAGCAATTTCTATTGTTTTAGCAATTTCTATTGTTTTAGCAATTTCTATTGTTTTAGCAATTTCTATTGTTTTAGCAATTTCTATTGTTTTAGCAATTTCTATTGTTTTAGCAATTTCTATTGTTTTAGCAATTTCTATTGTTTTAGCAATTTCTATTGTTTTAGCAATTTCTATTGTTTTAGCAATTTCTATTGTTTAAGCAATAGTGACATTGACCTTAGACCTGTCGGTCCCAAAAGCAACAGGCTTCTTAAGACTATCAAGAGCAACCCACAAACCAAATTCTGAAGTTCCTTCGCTCATAATTCCAAACAACCACCGAAATCACCACAGAAATCAACAACAATTCAAGCTTAACTGTGCAATTCAATTATTCAATAGAGAAATCAACTTAATCAATCACAATCATCCCACTTCTGACACCATTTGTGGCGGGAACCCCTCGGGCCAAGCTAAGTCTGTTAGGATAAGTCTGACTCTTAGTGGAAAGAAGACAATCTTCCCAAACCAAGGCTCTTCCCTAGACGAGAGATCACTCAGAGCGACCTTCAAGGCTAAGGGTGCAGGTCCGTTTTGGTGGAAATCTACTGCCCGATTGTGAATGAGTGTTAATTATTTATCTCTGTTAATTAATTGCACAATAAACCTGTAAACATAAACACCTGAAGCAGAATTGTTGGTAATCTCAAACAACAATAATCATAATTTATTCAACAATAATCAGGTACATTAATTAGGATGTGATTCGGTGGGTTGTTTTTATTAACAGGGTCTTTTTTTAATTACTGGAGATAGCCCGCTGCTCGCCTTTGCAACAACGCACACAGCATTAAGCACTAGACAACAATGGCAGCAATGAGCAACTATGCACAGCGCCAGTAATGAATCGCTAAGTTAGCAATAACACAGCGTCACAAGCACACAACAGCCGCTTAGCAATGTATACAGTCCTATAGCAGGGTACCCGCTACACCATGTGCGTAAGCCAGAATTCAGCTACACACACCACCGCAACCCCAGTACAGCTACACAGACTTTGTACAAATCGCCTAAGCAATTACACATAAGCAGAGTACAAGTAATTCACCTACTTCTCTGCTCGCTGTCGCAGCTACACCCTAGCCCGCTATCTCCAGACACCCGGCACTCAACACCTGAAACAGCTGAGCCCCAAAACTAGACACTCAACCAGCTAGTATCTCACCTAACAACAATCACCTAAACCACAACTGTAACAATCAGTCCAAAACTTGATCCCAAACCAGAGCGCCTCTGCGCCGCCCAGGCACGCACTTATATACCAGGTACGTGTAGACGCTAAGTCATATTTACGAGCCATGTGCATGTACTAACCCTATGGCACGCTAAACCTATGGGAATTATCAACCAATCACATATGTCCAGCAACTCACGGACATGGGCGTCGTGAGGGGGGGCCCCTGGAAAAGCAAAAAAAAAACAAAACAATAAGAGGAAGAAAAAAAAAAGAGAAAAAAAGAAAAGAAAAAGAGGCGCGAGGTCATAGTGGTGTAAATTTAATGAGTTGGGGGGGGGGGCAAAATGTCCCTGCCCCCCTCTAAAACTGAAAAATCGAGAATTTGTTGAGAAATACAAGAATTTTGTGGTAAAAATATGTTTTGCCCCCTCTAACAAAATCCTAGCGACGCCCATGTTCACGGAGCTCGTAAGCTCTGCCCAGTCAATAACACACAGTGATTAAGCGTTAGTGCTATGGTATGACGTCACAAATAAACACTTTCTGCCACATTACTTTGAACTGCGATCATTTAATGACATGTTTACCGTATTTCAGTAAAGGGCTGAGATTTAAGTGGAAAACATTTGACTGTTTTTCATGAACATCATATTACGTGATATGTTTTGTACTTGATGTTTAAAAGGGAAAACAAACAAACAAAATGGGGGCGAATGTAGTTATTAGATAATAAACCATTCAAGCATGTCGTGCTGGTCTGGCACTTCCACAGGTGTGCCAGCCACGAGGCAGTCTTGTGAGTAACTTTAACCAGTCTACACGTGTCTCTTTATCAAGTCCTTGTACTGCGGTGCTGAGCTACCCACCCAAGACTCAACCTATCCAATACTAGGCGCCAATACTACAATACTCAAAACGAGCAATCATCTACGTGGCAGAAAATGAATTCCAATGACCACAAACAGAAGTGACCACTCTGAAGGGATCACAAGGTTTCCACCAGTTCCAGGTTGTTGCCAAGTATCAGCTTAAAATCAGACGTCTACTATGCTTTTGTCTAAGTGTCTAGATTGCAATGTGGAAATGTGGAAAAATACAGATTACACTGGGGATTTCAAGGTGAAGCATCTGATTCTGCAGGGGATGAAAAAGGAGAGCCAAAATTCAACTGGTGAGTGAGCCGGCATGATATAACTTTCAAAACTGATTCGATCATAATAATGCTCAGTAAATAAATTTTGCTACATTAACTTCTACCACATTTTTTGAAATGGTCAAAATTTTCTTCCACCTCCCCTGGCATACTTTTAACAAACCAATGGGTCACTTGACCAATACTGACCCAAGTAACAGCATGGCTCAGAGAATGCATGTTTCCATAGGAGGCTTTTAATTGACTTTTTTTGTGCAATTAGTTTTATCTGATGAACATGATAATCCAAAGAAAATTGAGCCCAGCGACTTCATCGCAGTGAAACATACTTCACAAGCTGCCAGCAACATGCGACTGGTTTTTGGCTAAGGTAAAACGTCACATATTATTAATGCTAGCGTCATTAAGTTATAGATTAGTTACATTTTACATGTTTTATTCATTGAACTCATGCCTGTTTTTATTGCAAGTGGTGACTGCTACAGATGAGTCAATCCGTATGTCATACCTTACCAAGTCAGGGTCGTACTGCGTATGCTCAGACAAAGACGAGGAGTCTTTTCAGAGCATATCCGACTATCTCTGTCATGTGAAGTCAGAGTGGGCTGTAACTGATAGTCGCGTCAAGAAA